ACACAAACCTTACAGAAACTGAAGCTTTATAAGAGAACAATGTGCATAATTTAAACAAGGCTAATGAATTCATAGACAGCTCAAGTGAACTAACCCTACTCCTGAAACAAACAGAAACTATAGAATTAATAAATAATAAAATGCTATAGTATCTTTTATTCTTGTGGTCAGAGTGTTGCTAGGAGAACAACCAAAATATGGCTAACTGTTGAATGTGTTCTGCTCCTCTTCAGTAAGTGTGACAAGAATAGAGCCTCACACTATAATAACATATTTTCCCACAAGTTTGGTCTACAATAGCGCACTTTGTTCATTGTGCTCCTGTGGTCAGGGAATGTAGACTTCTCTCCCTTAGCTTGCCACCACTGCAATTTAAGAATTCAGAATATGTGTATCAGGAGAGTTCTTTCTCTCCAGAAATTGTCACACATTATAATGTCTTAGAGTTTCTTTTCATTATAACCTAAACTCTGCTAATATTTGTTTATAATTGTTTTAGCACATATGTAATAATAATAATAATAATATCTGCTTGAGACTGAATGAATACAGTAAATGACGTTACTCTTCCAATCTGGTTCTGAATCAACTGAAAAATAAGATAAAAAGTCCACAGATAGAGGCCAAACGTCAGCTTTAACAATAGTGAAACAGACGCATTCTTTGTAGTATACAAGCCCACAGATAGCCAGACAGACATATTCCCAAGCCACTGGATAACAGCAAAGCCTCCCTAGTCAGGGAAGAGGATGCCCCAGAAAGGCCACTCACTCCCAAGAGAAAGGTGAAAGGCAAAGGAATATGAGTGATGGCTTTCTCTTCCTAACAGCATCAATCAGGTAGGGCAATCCATCTCCTCTGTAATGGAGTAAAGGACAAAGAAGGTAGGAGTGCTACGACAGTTCCCTTCATGTGGAAGAAAATGTCAGAAATAGTGCAGAAGTTATTCTCCCCCTCCCCTCAACCCTAATGTAACCAGCAGTTTATTCTCTTGCCTCCGTTTCAGTAATTAATCAAGGGGGTAGCAATCAAGATGATCCTGCTTCCACCCTCTAGTGGCCGTTCTCCCAACACAAATCACTGGTCTTTTGAGAAGCTCTTGGAATTGTTGGAGAGTCTCTGTTTGCTTGCCAATGGCTCTAAAATGGGTCAAAACAGTAGGTTAATTAAGTTAACTGACAACACTTTAAATTCACAGCTAAAAATGTATTCTGTTTTTTTCTCCTTATCAAACCATGTTCAGATACGGTGTCAACCTGACTTCTCAGTAGTTCTTCAAAAAACTTAAATTACATATTAAGATTCCATGATAAAATAAAGATTTAAATGTCATGGCGTACAGGACCCATTTTGTAAATTATTTGTCACTTAAATAAAATTAGAGGTTCTCAACTCTTTAAAGAGGAAACCCAAGGAGACATGGAAATTTTTTAAATCTTTACACAGTTGTCAAAAGAAATATGACCCTCTTCTGATTTAAAAAAGAAATTGCATATATATATGATGCCTTCAGAAAACAGATATCAATTTAAATGTCACTGCAGTCATTTAGACAACCAATAAAAAATAAATTGTAAAGGTTCAAGATTAACTTTAGAAGACATAGCAACGCAAGTTCATTTTAGAATATTCTTCGCCAGAAATAATATCTGCAAGAACAAGTTTTATGTTACAGAATAAGGGCGTGCAGGAAACTAAAACGGAATAAATGTTTTCTTTTAATTTTCTTGCTATTTTTCTTCAAACTAACAGGAAAACCTGTAATTTTCAAGTCAAGCTTGAAGACAAACTTTAAAGACCTGAGACACAAAATACACAATATGAAAAAAAGGGATCAAATAAGATCATGTCAGTGGTGGCAAACCTATGGCACGCATGCTGCCATGGGCTGTTAGCATTGAAAGCTCTAAAAGGTTCACCATCTTTGGATTATGTGTTAATAAATGATAGTATGGGGCATGGAAGTTTTCATACCACTGCTACAAAGTGCTGTTCACATTTAACTTTGTAAAAATTACTTAAGTGGGCTGGGGATTTAGCTCAGTGGTTTCACCGCCTGCTATGCAGGTGCCAAGACCCAAGTTCAATCCCCGGTACCAAAAAAAACCCAAAACATTACTTAAGTACACATTCGTCTGCAATAGTATAGATGTCAAAGAACTAACAAGGTCACCAGGCACCATTCTCTTCCAGAGTGGCCACCAGGTCAGACCATCCCCCCGGGCCAGCTCCTCTTCAAACACCATGAGTTCTCCTCTGTTACTCGCCACAGTGATTCGGTGACAAACAGCATTGCCAGCAGAAGAACACAATGAGGTAAGATGTAGTTTCCATTATATTACACCATTTATTTAGACAAATATTTGACTGGTTAACCCTTACTGGTAGCTCATAGACACTAGATGCTGGCTATCACAGAATATTATTTCTGGCACAATGAACCACAGGTAGCCACCTGTGACAAAGTTTTGGATCAAGTTCCTAGTGATCGGCTAGGTCAAACATCAGTTTATTCTTTTTTATTAATTTTATTGGTATACAATATAGATATACAATATAATGACATTCATCATCGGAAATTTGTACTTTTACATAATATATCTTGGTTCTTATTTTTTCCCCATTCCCCTCCCCTCCCTTCAACCCCTCCACCCTTCCCTATTTACAAAGACTTTGTTTCCATTCTTTCATTTTCTCATATTAATTCCATACCCTTCTTTCCTTTCCTCAATCCCTCCCATTTCCCTTTCCCCTTTGGACCTTTTGTTCCTATTACACATTTCCAATGGATACACATTGAGGCAATACTCTTAAGTGAAATAAATACAACACACATGTGTAAATACCGAATAGTTTCTATGGTGTGAGAAACTGAAAGTGTAAATAAAGATCAAAAGGCATAATAGATATTGTCAGTTTCTTCTTGGATAAATCCCAGACTTCTCTGGCATATCTGGCACAAACCATGACTTCAATATCAACCTGTCCGCTCAGTGCAGGCTTTCAAGCCACATCTTAAACAGTGCTCTCTTGTCTTTCTTTTTACTTTTGGAATCCACTGGAGAACTCCTGCATACAAGAATATCCCCAAGATGCACATTATAAGAATAGATTACTGTCCTGACACTGCTTTAACCCACCAGGAAATCATACATAGAGGGAATCTAGAACTTTGAGACATGACAGGAGAGATAGCTTCTAAAATCCTGACAGGAAATATGAGAACTTTAAACATGGATAAGAGAGAAGAGTTCTACAGATTTAGATAAATGTCAGACAACCAACACCAAAAATGAAAAAAGGAGAAAGAAGAAAATAGTAAGGATGGGAAGTAGGTAGAAAAAGAAGAAAAGAAGCAACATACAGGGAAAAGTGAGAGTTTATACAAAGGGGAGTAGAAGAAGGGAAAATGAAGAAGAATAATGGAAAGAACTGCAAGTTTTGTTTTGTTTTTGGTACCAGGGACTGAACTTGGGACCTTCTGCTTGCAAGGCAGGCGCCAGAACCACTGAGCTAAATCCCCAGCCCAAGAACTGCAAGTTAAGCAGGAATATACTGACCAGATTCTATAAGCATCTGAACATGGAAAGGATCTGAGTCAATCAAACTCCAAAACAAGAAGAAAAGTACAAAATTCTTCATTTGACTTTCTAAAAGTTATAATAGTAAGATAGGGATGTGAGAATTGTAAATCCTTGAAAGCTATCTGAGGTGTCTTGCATCTGAGGTGCTTTAGCCAGGGTTTGCTTAAATTATAAAAATTAAAGGTTAAAGTACAAAGAAGTATAAAGTTCATTCTGCCTACTTCTAAGAACATACTTTCTTCATAACTGATTAACATTATGTCACTGATACATAGGGGGTTTAAATTAATTCTGTGGGTTAGAACACCAGAAATATTAGTGTCCATTTTCATCTAAGCTCTTTAATTCTCTAATGTTCTTGGTCCTATTGAAACATTTCAGTATATAAAAAGTACTGCAATGTCAATATCCAAGAGTAAAGCCATTATCATGTGTATACTGGTCATCATCATCAGTGTGTTACAGTTTTTTAAAAAAATAAACTATTGTGCCCTTAAAAAAAAAGAATTGCAAATGCTTATTCTCTGAAGATAGAAAAAGAAAAAGATTTTACTCCTAGAGGAAAAGTTATGGATCAAGTTTCTCTGAAGGTCTATTCAAGAATGGTTGCATTGGGCCGGGGATTTAGCTCAGTGGTTTCGCTGCCTGCTGTGCAAGCACAAGAACCCAAGTTCGATCCCCTGTACCAAAAAAAAAAAAAAAGAATGGTTGTATTTGTGCCCTGCTCATAGTCCCCCTTTTTCACAGAGATGGTTGAATTCTATCTACCCATTGGTGCATAGCTCTACATTTCAAGCCCCCGGGGAAAAAATTGTGTCCTGCTCAGAAAGTACTTGAGAGCTCACAACCAGGCTCTTTCTCTAGCATGCACAGCATGGGTGGTTGATGTAGCAGCGGGAAGCCTGAGAAAAGTAGATCACTGGGACGAGCTAAATACGATTGATTCCAGATATGTACAAACAACTCTCAGTGAGGAACAATCCTGAGAATTAGAATGCTTCCCTTTTCTCGTAAACTTCAAATATTTTATAATTTTAAATAATTTTCAGAAAGAATGCAAAAACATCATCTCAGTTATCTCTCAACTGTATCATATGTATGATCTTCTATGCATTAATAGCCTCCCTTACTTCCCCTTAAACACTCCATTCTTCAACTCCTTAAACAAATTTCTCTTACGGCATGAGTCCCAGAAATAGATCTTTACTTTTTTCAGCTCCAAATGCATTCTGGTTAGTACGAAGTCCTTCAATATTGAGGAGACTGGAACACATGCAATATTTCACAAAAGGCTTGATCAAACCAGAGGATAATTTAGCCATCTCTACCTTAATTCTTAATATAATGCTATGTACACATCCTGTGGTGTCCATGTCATTTTCACTCCGACATTATACTACCAGTTTACTAGGCTGTACTGAGTTCCAAAACATTTATCGCCACACATCCACCATGTTTTATAATTGGGTTTCTATGCCCTACTGAGTAATTTAAATTATCTTACACCTCTCTTGTGTTTTTCCTGTCCTTCCCCCTCAAGGGCCCCAGATGGTGGACCTACGGAACAGCAGCACAGTGACAGAGTTCATCCTTGTGGGCTTTGAGCAGAGCTCCCCTGCCACACGAGCACTGCTCTTCACTCTCTTCCTAGCCCTCTACAGCCTTGCCATGGCCATGAATGGCCTCATCATCTTCATCACGTGGACAGACCCCAGGCTTAACAGCCCCATGTACTTTTTCCTTGGCCATCTTTCTTTCCTGGATGTTTGCTTCATCACCACCACCATCCCACAGATGTTGATCCACCTGGTAGTCAAGAACCACACTGTCTCTTTTGTTTCTTGTATGACCCAGATGTACTTGGTCTTCCTTGTGGGTGTGGCTGAGTGCATCCTCTTGGCTTTCATGGCCTATGACCGTTATGCTGCTATCTGTTACCCCCTTAGCTATACCCAGATCATGAGCAGACAGGTCCGCGTAAGGCTAGTGGGTACTGCCTGGATCTTTGGGTTGATCAATGGCATATTTCTTGAGTATATATCATTCCAGAATCCCTTCTGCAGAGACAACCATGTAGAAAACTTCTTCTGTGAGGCTCCCATAGTGATCGCCCTGTCCTGTGGGGACCCCCAGTTTAGCATGAAATTGATCTTTGTTGATGCCACTGTGGTGCTGCTCAGTCCCATGGTCCTCATTGTCGCCTCCTATGCCCGCATCCTGGGCTCCATCCTTGGCAGAACCTCCTCCTCAGGTTGGGGCAAGACCTTCTCAACTTGTGCCTCCCACCTGACTGTGGTTATATTTTTGTACACTTCAGCCATGTTCTCTTACATGAATCCCCGAAGCACACATGGGCCTGACAAAGACAAGTTTTTCTCCCTCCTCTACACCATCATCATCCCCATGTGCAATCCCATCATCTATAGTTTTCGCAACAAGGAAATGAAGGGGGCTATGGTGAGGGCCTTTAGGAGAACCAACCTGGCCCAGGCAGAGTCTTTCTAGCAGGAAGGCCCCTAGAGAAGAAGCTCCCTCCCTTGGGGTAGGAGAAGTTAGTTGCCCCTTTCCCACCCTGAACAGGTGAGTAACTCTCTGATGCTGAAAAGCTCTAGGAAAGAGCATTCTTGGCTTCCTTAGCACAAAACTCATATCTGGATGTTCCTCCTGAGGACTAAAACTCATCTCTCTGACTTCACTTCCAGCACACTGATCTTCCCCAATCTTTCTTAGTAGGGATGTCTTAGGTAGGAGGCACAAGTCCAGAGCAATAACGTATCACAACCTGAGATAAGGCAGCTATGTTTTCTCACAAGAAAGTCATTGAAGAATCATTCTTTTGGGAGCCTTACTTTCTAATGGCAAAGTTGAGCCTTGGCTTTAGGAAGGCTTGCTTTGGGAAAGGAGTAGACTGAGAACCATAATGAGATTTGTAGATTGCAGTAAGTTCAAGAAATATGCTATGAGAATGTGATACCATCCCTGCATGGTGACCCTCAAGTACTTCAATTAAGTTTCCAGAAAAAATAAGAGTCAATCAATGGGATTGTATTGGTAACCAAAGCCAGAAAGAGGATGTGTTTTATGCCAAATACATGTGGACTAATGAAGAAAAGAGAGGACAGAAGAAAAAGAAGGCCTGAGGGCAACAACTTCACCAGATTGTAAACTAGGGGTTCAAGCTATATAACAAAATGTCTTAGAGTCAGGAAATCTTTGAGTGCCATCTACATTATACAACACTGAAACAAGAGTGTTTTAACTTTTTGTACATTTATTTGCTCCCACTTGAAAATATTATCACTGGTATGTGTTGTAAAATCTAAATTTATCCATTTTTGAAGCATCCCTCTTATGTATTTTACTTCCCACACACTCATATTCCCAGAGATTCTTTACTCACATCTCTAAATTCTATCTCTCCTGTCCCTAGTCCTTTATCTATGGTCTAAAGCAATGACTCTAAACCAGGTACAATTTTGTCTCCAAGATGTTTAGTAATGTTTCAAGACATTTTTGGTTGTCTCTACTGGTGTACTAAATGAAGGACCCTAGTTAGCAAGACAGACTCCATATTGCTGCTTGACCCACCTGCCTGCCCTTTAGATGATCTGAGGAGGAAGCTTAAAAACCTCCTCCTCTTAGAAAGTCTCTTTAGAAATAACAATTAATCAACTATTGTTTTACAAATGTTCTAACAGCAGGACGTTCTGCTTCTGTACCTTTTGCTTGCTTTACTAGTGCTATCCCATAGGGGGGCCTAGAAACTGTTGGCCTCAAAGGTGTATAAAACATGTTTGTCAACCCCCAGTCGAGGCTCGAGTCCGATGCTCGGCTCAGGTCCCAGCCGGTAATAAACTCCTGTATGGATTTAATATCGGTCTCTGGCTGGTTCTCTCTCACTGGGTGCAACACTAAATACGCTTCAGGTGTTTAGAAGGCACCAGTCAGGGGAGCTGCTAAACATCCTAAAATGCACACGACTGCCCCCACCCAAACATGCAGCCTAAGATGTCAATCATGTTGAGGTTAAAAAGAGGTACTAAAAGGCAGAAACATGGTGGTAATGAAAGGTGTTCATACAGGAAAAAAGGAAACCAGAAAAACTAGAATACAAAATTCAGTCTGCAAAGCTATCATTCAGTTGCCTGTGGGAAGGATTTCTGCTGGCGTTGTCATAGCAATGTTCTGTATAAGTAGTTGTAATAAAATGTTCCCTAAAATCTCTGATTATCTCTATCTCAACGTAAGTCTCCTCTTCCAATTTTCATAAATTACATGACTTTTCCTATCTAGTCATGCTCTTCTGTCTACCACTGGCACGGATGCCTATTTAATTCTATCCATTTTCTCTGTCACTTCAAACCAAATCTTTGCTACTCACAAGTTATCCCTCCCTTGTCCCCATCAATTTCAATTCCTATGTGGCCCATTCTCAATCCTGATCCTCCCTACTCTTCTACATTTGGTCCCCAGCAAAGGTCATTTAGTGCAACCTAAAAATCCCTGTGCCCTATTTGGGAATACTTCCTAAATTTCAACGTATTTTTCCATTCCCTTACAATCTTCCTTCTCTTACCAATGCTTATCTTTCCCCCAGAGTACCCTAAGTTACATTTATGCAGCAGCCTCATTCTCCCACTCCCATGTTAGGATGCAAATTGTTTCTTCTACCAATTATTTCTCTTCTTCCTAACACCTTATACAATAAATATGCTCCACCCAAGTGTCTGCTATATTTTTCCTGTTTGCTCAATATTTTTCCTTGCCCCTGTAAGAAAAAAAATACCTACTTTTTCGCCAAATCTGGGTCTTAATAGCCAGGCTTTCACTGACTGGCTCTGTGAGTTTCATTGCCTTTTAGTTACTTAGATTCAACTATGAGAGTGGCTATCAGGATCCAGGAGGATGGGAGGCAGTGTCTATATTCACTACTTTATAATCACTGGGACAAAATACCCAACATCCATAATTTAAAGAAGAGGTTTACTTTGGCTCATGGGTTCATTAGGTTCAATCCTTGGTCACCTGGCTCCAAGGCAATAACTAATTGGTAGAAGTCATGATGACCAAAAATAAAAAAGAGAAGGCAGTAGCCAAAGATGAGAATACACCCTTCCAAATCACAACAGCAATGACCTATCATTTCCAAAGAGCCCCACCTCTGAACATAATACTTTTGGGGGATATTTTAGATTTAAATCATAACATTTCATCCCAGGCCCCCTTAAAGTTCACATCCTTCTCTTCCTACAAAATGCATTTAGTCCATGTCTTAACAGTTCCAGCATTGTTGAAAAGTCCAATCCAAAGTCTCCTCTGAGAATCAAGGCAAACAGCTGTTCAGTTCCTATAAAAATTGAAAAGAAAGTTAAATATACCCAACATACAAGGACATAGGATAAACAAGAACATTCCAAAAAGGAGTAAAAAGGAGGCTAGGAAGGAATGAGACCACCACAAGATCAAAATCCAGCAGGGCAAACATTAAGTCTTGTAACTCCATGTCCAGCACCCAGGGCAGGTTGGGTTGAGATGTGATCTACAAAGGGCTCAGGAACGCCACTCCTATGGCCTTGCTGATTGCAGTGCATATGGCCTCTATAGAAGCTGGCTCTCCTCACTACTTGCAGCTTTCCTCAGCAGATGTTCCCCATTTCTTGCAACTCTAATTTCCTAGGGTCTCCACTGTACCTTTGGCTGTACTCCAACACCTTCACACACTTCTCTCTCATGGACTCTTGGCAGGGCCTGTAACCTTGTCATATTTGATGGGAGCCCTCATGGCCCAATAACTCTTGTATTCTGCATGCCTCAAAAACCAGCACTACATGGGCCAGAGTTTTAGCTCAGTGGCACCATGCCTGCCTCGCCAGTGCAAGGTCCTGAGTTTGATCCCCAGTACCGAGGGGGGTGGGTGCAGCACTACATGAATGACACCAAGGTTTTCCACTAGTTTGAGCAATATACAGGCACTCTTGGACCATGGCTGCAGTGGTCTGTGAATTCTTGGATGGCTAAACACAGTGAAATGAATCTCAGGAAACCAAGTTTCTACAAGGCCTTTCTTGAGCTGGTAACCCATGGAATTTCTTCTCAGATGAAAGATTTATGGTTTTTTTAGCCTTGAGCCTGTGATTAGTGGCACCTTGATGATTTTTGAGATACCCTCAGGCATCTTGCTGTACTGATGCAAACTTTTTATACTAATCTTTTCAGTGATCATTCTCTCCTTTGCCCTAACTTTGCAGGAGTCTCCTTTATGGTAAAACTTTAAACTTTCAAGTCATGCCGCTATGCTGTTCACTCCTGATTTTCACTGTAGATTTAGCAGAAATCAGCCAGCAGTACCCATGCCATAGTCTGAATTTTGGGCTGACTTGAAATTTCCTCCACTAGATCAATTAGTCTGCCTCCTAGATCTTAGTCTTTCACAAAGTCTCAGGATATGGGCAAAATGTAAACAAATTTTCTGTCAGAGTATAATACACATGGTCCAACTGCCAGTGGAGCCCTTGTTCCTGACTGAAACCTCCTGAGTCTTCCCTTTATTGTCCACATTCCTATCAGCATTCTGGTCTTATGTGTCCCCCCACCACCACCCTGTATCTCCAGTTAATCTCTGCTTACAGCATACTAAATCTTTTCTAGCTGGCATCTTCAAAATTTTCCAAACTCCTCACAATCCAGTTCCAGAGACTTCTGAACCACATGGTCAGGTATAGTAACAGCAATAACCCCACTCTTGATACTAGTTTTGTGCATTAGTCATCTTTTCTGTTGCTGAGATATAATACTCAACATCTACAACTTAAAGGAGGAGAGGTTTAATGTGGCTCATGGTTCAGGGGATTCAATCCATGGCTCCAAGGCAGAAACATAATGGTGCAAGGGTGTGGCAGAGGAAAGCTGCTCACATCATGGTGGCCACAAAGTAGACAGAAAAGAAAGAATCCAAGAACAAGAGTACATCTTTTATGATAGTTAAATGCTGTATCAACTTGAATAAGAAAGTCTAGCTGATGGCTTAGCATAGTTCTGAGTGTGACTGAATGATGTACTTACTGAAGAAAAGGGAATATCCACCCCTTATCTCAGACCAGTGTACATGCTATCCTGGGAAAGGACCAATATGAAAAAGGAAATAGCACGGCCCTTCACCACCAGTCTAGTGGATTGAATAGAGCCATACTCATGCTATTTTTCCCACTGGGCATGGTGAAATGAGACATTTCCAGCCCAGGGACTTGAGAAGCCAAAAGCAGAATGGGTTAAAACTGAATTGCCATGCATCTACACATTTGCCTTCAGGGCTGGCTGGTGGTGCTTCAGAACTGACAGGAAGTAAGACACCAGAAAGACATAAGGTTTTCCCAACATAGACAATAACAATAATAATAATAATAACAACAACAACAATAAGCTGCTTATTCCTTCCATATACAACAGGAGCTGCCATATGTGGAATAATCAAATCAGCATCTAACCCACAACGGTCGGCAGGCTCCCATGGAAATGGAGGCACCCAGCAATGCCAGAAGGAAGGGAAAACTAGTTCTGCAATAATACTTGGAACAAAGCCAGAGTGGCCAGTGACCCGGAATGCAGTGGAGCCATAAAAGCACCTTCTTGCTATTTCTGTGGTCAAGGTGAAATAGACATATGTGGTGATCACCACCTGAGATAGTGACTCTGAGCCTATAATTGGCAATAAAAACCTATGGAGGGAAGACATGGAGAAGACCACAATATTTACCCTCCAACTTGATCAAAATAATTGGATCCATGGAAGTCTCCAAAGGAGCACACCCAGAGCTCTAAATCAGGACATGAGTTAGGAGAAAGCAATAGTCCTCAAGCCTTCAGACAGGCAATTTTCTGGTTCATGGGGGAAAATGTGTGATTAATGAAACTAGACAGTGATACTAGTTAGAGGAAGCTATGTGGAAGCTCTGGGTCCATGCGATAACAACTATGTGAAGGTTTTTTAATTTTTTTATTCTTATTTCCATTGTTACTTTTGGTAATTATAGTTACTGTAATCTTGCTATTTTGTTGGAATTGGGACATCTCAGTTGGTGTTTGGGGAGGATCCTTTTTTTTATTATTTTCTTTCTATTTCTTGTTTTTATTTTTTCTTACCTTTCTTTCTTTTTGTTCTTCTTTATTGGTATTGGTTGATTACAATACTTTAAGTTTCAGGAGTTTCTCCCAGATCTAATCTCTCATTTAGTGTACTTCCTACTCTTTCCATACCATATTCAATTTTCCTCTTCTCATTATCTTGCCTCCTTGCATTCCCCCTCCTCCTCTCCATCTATCTAATGACATAAATACAACAGAGGACTCTAAAAGTGCATTAGAGAATAAGAACGTACCAATGCTATAAATTAAACAGTACTATTTAAAGGCATATCAGTGTAACCCTTAATGAAGTTGGAATTAGAGGCACCTAACAAAATTACCCACAAACATTAACATGCACTGAAAATCTCACAGGCTCACTCAATCTCTAAATACACTTCTTCCTATCTGCATACATCCTCTTGCCTACAAAAATATT